GACCCACATGGACCGCAGGGTGAGCGCCCCCTGCTGTTCCCACTAACACCTCTTCCGGCTGCAACCTTAGTTTTTCCCAGGAGGTCTCCCATCCAGGTACTGACCAGGCTCACACCCGCTTAGCTTCAGTGGATTCCCAGTTGTGAGTTGCACAAATGCAGCTCAAGCATTTGTGGTGTCATCTAGCCTATCTTGCTTGAGTACATCATGTTCACATCAAACAAATGGAAAACAACAAGAACAGCTTTGAAGACACCCACCTGTAAATGAAACAGTTATGTTCTAGAACCGTTTAAACGTTTTCTGCAAATGTTGACATTGCAGAGCTTCTCAGTTGCATTGCCCTTGATCTCCTTAGACCTACTGAAAGAACATCCTATTTGCAAAAATAAATAGCACTTAAAAAAAATAAAACAATACTTCAAAATTAAACCGTTAGACAAGAAGGGGCAATTATTAATTGATACTCATTTAGTATTCATCTGTTACTATATATTCATTCAACTGACAATGGCCAATTGTATGCATTTCACATCTGTGCACACAGATATGATCCCCGCAGCTGCACGCAGGGGGATCAGGACGTGTAGGCAGATTCCTCTAACCCACTGGTCTTTGTAACACAGAGGCAACACAGACCAGTAACAGAGGCTAGGACTAAATGAGTAATGATTGATGTGCCCCCTCACCAACTTCTTGCCTGCAAGCACCCATCATCGAAACAAATTCTACAGTATGCATGGCAACACAGCGGACCACGTGCCATCATTTGGGAAATCCTCAGAGGTCACAGTCAGCATGTGACACGACCCAGGTTCGAACCCGCGACCACAGAGCTCAACGGGCACTGGTGGAGCCACTTGGAAGGCCCCTATACATTCGATATGGAATGGCTATAGCCACCACAACAGGTGCAGCTCTGCCCCAACACTGCATACACTGGCTAGGCTTCAGGGATGAAGTCACCTTCTGAAACCAGCTCAGCACCACTGAGCCCCTTTACACAGGCACTTGAAACAAGAACCTCAAGTTTAAACCTAAAAATCTGAATGAAATAAGAACGCCACTTCTGAGAAACATAAGAACTTGTTTAAAATTAAGAAAGGGTTAATATTTTCTTGCTTTAAGCCCGACAGCACCGCATTCTATGTAGTAAAATGTTATTCTGTTTCATGTCTCATTAGAATAAACCGAGACCTTAAAGAATTCTTGGGCCACTTTCATCTTGGCTGTCTTACTACAGTACCTCTTTCACCAAGTGGTATATATGCACGGGTTGTCTGTGCATATACCCTGTGATAGGCTATCATGAAAAAGTTGCTTTATGTGCATTAAATACTGAATAATAGACTAACAAAATAATTTTAGTTTAATGTATTAGTTAAGTAACGTATTTGTTTGAAAAGAAGTCCATTCATTATCTTAAAAATAGAGTAAAAGATTTATAATTGCCAAAATGCTAAAAAAAGACTGAAGGCCATTCAAAATAAATGAGGCTCGTTTATGACTGAAAAAAAAACTGTTTAAATACATTAATTACATAGTGTATATAAATTACTGAGGAAATGCTATTTTTATTTCCATGTAATACTGAAAGTTTTCTTTGTTAAACATTTGCGTTAGACAACACAAAAAAAGTTATGCTTTTATTACGCTCAAGTACACATTTCGAGGTCAAGGAAGTGATTCTGACTTCCCCGGGGAGCACGGGACCCACTGCTATGAGCTCTCCACCAATCAGAACGAGGGGAGTTGCCTCGGCACTGCCCACTTAGTCACATGCGCCCTCAATCAACTCGGCTCCAGGGAGACAAAATATTAACAATGCCTACGCAGTAGCTTAAGTCAATGAGGACGTTTTGTAACCCACTCTGTAGCGATAACCCCAGGTAATTGATTTTGGGCACTAGATGTAGGTGAGAGGTCATGTGAATTTGTCTGCAATTCTTTCACAGATATTCACTTTTTTAAAAAAAGTATCAATTTAACGTTAACTCTTACGTTTAAGATAATAATAATAATAATAATAATAATAAACTTTATTTTATATAGCACCTTTAAAGGTGGCTTCTCGAAGCGCTTTACA